TTGAACTACTCAAAGTTGGCATGAACAGCTGGGTACTCGTGCATTTACTCGGATCCCTTGGTAAAACAGAGCGCTCACAGCCACATCCCTAGTCTTAGATGCGTTTATCCACCACTGATGTTAATTCCGCTTTGTGGAGGAATCCGAGAATAATCTTGTTATCCACACTACCACTTGCATTTTTCCTTTAAGCATACATAAGCAGTTCTTTTATAGTTTGACTGCTCCATCGTTTCACATTTTCTCGTCTCGCTCACCCGTGACCTCGGACAAGTACATTCCTCCTGACCATCTCTGCGAGCTGATTGGATCATTTTCCGCGATTTGCGGCACTTGAAATCCCTCACCCCAACACGAGACTGTCTGATTACCGGCTTGTACTTTTTTGTAATGCTCTCGTCACGTTCAGTCCATCCGTGTGGTGATGTCACTCCTGCTATACAGTCGAAGTTCACTGGGCCTGCCTAAGACTTGCGGCTGTAAATAAGGCGTGTTTTCTCGCTCGGGTTAGCTGGGCACGTACCAGGTCGTTTGTTGCGGCTGAACCATCCGACCAATCGATAAGTGAACCCGATCGGTCATGGGATTTTCGGGCCGGCATAGGAGGAGGATAGTTTTTGAATCGGATGAAGCTTAAATGTTGGTAGATAATCAACATAGAACAATCAGTTGTGGAGCAATGCGCCATCTGGGAAATTCAGAATGAAAAAATTCAAGCGATGATGACACTGGGTTAAAGCTTGACTCGTCTAAGATGCACGCAATATTTTTCTAAGCGGTTCGGTAAAAGGATAATCATAATCAACCTCGGAACTTGTCTCAAGTACGGACTACAATATCCTCTAATTCAGGCTCACGTATAACTCTTCTCGGTATTTTCCCAACGGGCTGTTTTTGCGTTGAACGATCTTGCCAAATACGTCGGAGATAGAATTTCCAAAGAAAGACCAAATATTATCGGAAAATGCATACTTATTTTATGAATATTATTTAATATTTTCCGCTCTGGTGCTTGTGTAGCAGAAGATGGATAGAATATAGTTTTTCTCCCACCTTCAGAATAGTAGCAGTTGGAATGCTTTCGTACCGCGCGAGGATATTCTGTCTTAGCTCCTCAAACGTATTCGGGAATAAACCGTTCGTTTTCGATATCCCACAGAAAGAAATCCAAGGGAGACAGATCAGGTGATCTTGGAGGCCAACCCATTTGGAGTTAAGTTCCAAATCCAGGAAACTTCTCACCACCAGAGTACTGTCATCATCGCTTGAATTTTTTCATTCTGAATTTCCCAGATGGCGCATTGCTCCACAACTGATTGTTCTATGTTGATTATCTACCAACATTTAAGCTTCATCCGATTCAAAAACTATCCTCCTCCTATGCCGGCCCGAAAATCCCATGACCGATCGGGTTCACTTATCGATTGGTCGGATGGTTCAGCCGCAACAAACGACCTGGTACGTGCCCAGCTAACCCGAGCGAGAAAACACGCCTTATTTACAGCCGCAAGTCTTAGGCAGGCCCAGTGAACTTCGACTGTATAGCAGGAGTGACATCACCACACGGATGGACTGAACGTGACGAGAGCATTACAAAAAAGTACAAGCCGGTAATCAGACAGTCTCGTGTTGGGGTGAGGGATTTCAAGTGCCGCAAATCGCGGAAAATGATCCAATCAGCTCGCAGAGATGGTCAGGAGGAATGTACTTGTCCGAGGTCACGGGTGAGCGAGACGAGAAAATGTGAAACGATGGAGCAATCGCTTTCGGCAGGACAACAGGGTGATTTTATTTTATGGTGGGTAAGATCTGCATCGGTTACAATGCTTTCTCGGATATTTGTTGCCCCGCGGAATCCTCGACTTTGGCCATTCACGACCGCTAATTTAGTTGAGAAATTTCTGAGAAAGCATTGTAACCNTCGAAGTGACCTTTTTCTTGTGCACTATTGAGGGATTGCGTCCGGTAGCTTACAGCTCCGATGGTAGTCGGCTTCAAGTAGCCTCCCCGCATCTCTCTATATTCGCCTACGGATAACTCGTAACCGCGAAATGTCAACATACATCAAAGGAAATCACATTTGATAACTGTAAAAACCCAAAGATACTGCTTAACTAATAGGCTGGAGTATATAAAAGCGAACTGACAGCAGTGCTGCTCAAGTAGTCATTTTTATCAGGCCTGAATGCGTAGAAATGTGTGTACTCTGTGGGCCGATCATAGCATTTCCCTTAAAACCAATCTAACCCACATCCACCATACATCTTCGTACTTCCTGAATATTGCGAGTTTTGGCAGTTATCAGTTAAGTTTCTTCCATTGCACTCCGCTACACGATGAGGATGACACTGTACATTTGTTTCGATTTGATTAGGTTTCATTATCAGTGCGAATCCATCGATCCGAGAGATCAAACCCGGGATCTCACGGGGAGAACACAAGCATACCATCTAACTGAACAACGGGCAGTTGACTAGAGTCCTTTTCATTTTCTCTAAACACGACATAGCACAACGCGAATTACCTGTGAGGTCCTGCGTTTGATGGATTCACATTGCTGATGAGCCCGAACAAGGTCGAAATAGCTGCATAGTGCTTCCGGGTTTTCCAGTTCATGCTTCATCTGTTGGATATATAGTGACTGTTTCTATACATAAGACAACAGGATTGAATTTTGGCCGCGGATAACAAATTAGAGTCCGGAAACAAAAATACTCGGGTTTTCATCTAGGGAACCCTGCCCCATAAAATGACCTCAGAATGCATCACCATTGTTTTTAGATGAATTCATTTCAAATAAGAGCATTATCCGTGACACTCCGGAACACTTTCAATAGGTGAAACATTATTTTGACTACTACTATACTCCTCTTTGCACAGATGCGCACTGAAATTGGTCGCATTGTTGATCGGATACCGCACAACACCACAACAGCGAACATGCCCAACCGGACCGTAGAATCAAACCCGGCAGGGGACGCACACCAATCATGACATGCACACCCAGACCAGAAACACACACCGCGTCGTTGTTGGATCTCACTTGTGCACAAGCACCATTATCCCCACTCGTTTTTTACCCGATTCAAATGTACGTAATGATAATTATATCGGTTGTACCGCAATCTCACCTGATTCCTTGAGTCCTTTACAATCAACCAAAATTGGGCAGCACGTGTGATGCTGAAAGAAGTATCATCATAAGAGCAGTTTAGAGACAAGTAATCATTTAACGGTTGGAGAATGGTAACCAGAATAAGCCCAGGTGGCACTCTTATTTTACAACCGAGCGTATGACAGAAAACGATGCAGTTATTTTAAGCTAAGTTATATTAGTCCATGTGCCGTTACATGGTGGAACTGCACCGACTGAAGGGTTCAACAAAACAAATTCATTCGCTAATCAAACCGTGATATCCAACAACTTTTGAGCTCAGCAAAGGTCATCACTTGACAGTAAGAAGCAGATGATCGAAAGTGACTAGTTAGAGGGATTATGTGGTCTTTGGGTACAGGAAAATTGGTCCTCACTTGACTCAATGCTAAGAATGAAAGAGCACTGTCATTAGTGAAGCACGGGTGTAGAAATACACCATCATCGGCCTTTGATCGCAACTGATTCCTCCTTGAAGAGTGAAACGATCAACAACTCACTCTAGGATGATGGGATTTGGTCTTCTAACAGAATATTGTTCAGTACACCTGTAAGAGTCGGCGAGAGTAATCACCCAAACCCGTCATCACAGAACGGATGAAATTTCGGCTGCATTCCATTTTTACGGCGGTTGAACACACCGAATTTCAATCTCTGTGCGAAGACTTAGAAACTGCAGGGAAGTACACGGTTAGTTGTTGTGCAAACTGAAGGAACTTCCGGTTGCAATTGGGAAACAGTTAGGTCAGAAAGCAAAACCGCATACGACCGGGAACAAACTAAATCAAAGATAGATCGGGTATTACTCTTGTGGTTGACAGTGAGGGCAAACCTGCGAAATAAGTGGCCGCAGACGAATGCCAATAGCGTTGGAGAACGCGAATGGCCAACAAAACTGCTGCAGTATGTTGCTTCATTCACTTGATGTGGGTTTCTGGAATAGCCAGTGAGCATTAAAATAGGTCTGTGGCTCAGTTGAAACAACTCTGCTGTCTTTCAGGTTGCACCTAGATGTGAAAAATTCGGAGTTA